CTGGACGTAAACAGCGTATGCTGTTCTGTGTCAGCTGCGTCACACGGATACGCTGTTTTCGTTCAGATCAAATCACAACAATGTAGGAAACAGATCCGGCATGATGCAGTTGACAGAACAGCATACGCTATTTACGTCCAGCGGATATTCTCCAAAATGGCGCTACCGGGTGATGCGGAGGAGACGAATTGTTGAATAAAGTCGTTATTTTTTCATATATTTTTTTTCTTTCGCGCACAAAAAGTATTCTCGTAGTTGAACCCCTGATGTCACATGGATTATTTTACCGATCTCCTTGCTACGTTTCTGGACTTGGGAACATTTCAGTTGCTTTGTTGTCTATGCAGGGTCAGACAGCTCTCAGATTCCATCAAAATATCTTAATTTGTGTTCCGAAGATGAACGAAGGTCTTATGGGTTTGAAACGACATGAGGGTGAGTAATTAATGACAGAATTTTCATATTTGGGTGAACTGTCCCTTTAAGTCTGATTTAAGTACACCATTATATGTAATTACTTCTCTTGTCTATGAAATGTGATTAAAATTTAATGCTGTATGTACTGACAAGCATTTATGGTCAAACAAAATATGCTTTAATGTGGTTTTGATTCAAACTTGCATGTCACGTATTTAAATATATATATTCATATTTGTAATTTTTAAGCTACAATATAGCAGATTTAAAATATATTAACTTTACATGTAATATCAAATAACACACTACAGTTTAAATTATAATCAATAACTTTTTTAAAAGTGTAGTTAAATGTATTAAGAAACAGTCATGAAGTGGTATTTTATTTCATTAATAATATATAATCTGAACGTACAGTTTTTTATGTACTTTTTACGATTTGAATTTAATACAATTAAACATTTCTTTTTCACAAGGGCCAGATTCCAGCTCTCCAGTATGATCACGTAATACAGCATATGACATTTTCAGTCAAAATCAGACCTGCTCCTGTGAAAGACTTTCATCAGTTTCTACAGGTTTTCTTCAGCACGGCCGTGTTTCTCTCTCTATCTGTACAGACGTTTGGTTGAGCCCCAAAACTGTTGCGTTCTAAGCTCTTTGTTTTCTTATAAAAGCACGCAAAAGCTGGGCATCTACATACTGTGACTTCAAGTTGAGCCCAGGTTTCTGTCCAGTGTGGGAAAACATGGCGATGGTCAGTTTGGAGGGAACAAACCCTCTCTGCTTTGGCTTTCTCAGCCTAGCTCTCCCTGGGCAGGAAAGTCTCTCCAGCACGTCTTCCACAAGTCTACCTCTCAGCACTGATCTTGTATCGCAGGACGAAGTAAGCAATCAGACGAAGCGATACAAAGAAGATGCCCAACACAATAAAGTCCACGTAGAGTTTTGCATCTTCAATATCCAGCTCCTTCAAAATGGCTTCTGACTTCTGGAAGTGGCATGTCTCATCTTTGTCGCAGTGCAGGTCCTCACGGTCAAGCCCGTAGATGGACAGAATGACTCCTTCAAAACCATATCTGAAAGTCAGAGGACAACTGATTTAGAAGAATACCACTTAAGATATGTATTGTATTATACAGGTCTCTGGAATACTTGATTATGATTGGTCAAATACAGCAAATGTGATTGGTCAAATGTGCGGTCAGATATTTTATATTTTAACCACTACATTGTTCCTACAATGTTCATTTCTTTCATATCCACTCCAACGCCTCTTTCTGCTTGCATAGTGAAACAATTTAAATTCAGATCAATATATCATGATCATGTATTTACTTATTTGGCAAGAAATCATTATAATAAACCTCTTCATGATAATTGTACATTATATCTTACATATTTAAAAGACAACATAAATCTCATTTGTAGCTCATTTAATTTCCATAATGAGAGTTTTTTTCCCCAAGTAGAATTTTTGAGCAAGAAATAATGTTATACAGTGAAACACCCTTGTAAAAAAGAAGTTCACTTCTTTGTATTTAATGTGCACTTGCAGTGTACTTCAAGTATATTATTAAAACTACACTTGCATATGATATAATATTAATGAAATTAAAGGCTACTATACTTAAGTCAATTCATGACTGCTTCTTAACACACTTAAGCACACATTTAAAAAGTATGCTTGTAATAATGCCAATTTAAAAGTTTTACTTAAGTACATTTTGAATCACTATGTTCTAATAATATTTTGTCATGTTTTAAAGATCATGTTCACTTTTTTCTGTTGACATACTTGGCAGTGTGTTTTGATATTACATTTAAAGTTATTACAAATGTTTAATTATAAATATATTTAAATACATGACATACACATTTTAATAGAGATTAGATTTTTAGTTTCCACAAATGCTTGCCAGTACATTCGGCTAAACACTTTAACCATAATTCAAAGATGATAGAAGCAATTATGAAATTACATATAAAGATGTACTGAAGTCTTAAGTGGGTCAAAGAAAAGCAATCTTAAACTATATAATACATTTAATATTGTAAATAGCATGCATTTAAGTATCTGAAAACATTACATTCAGTATATTCTTTTAAAGTACATTATTCCCATAATAAGTACTAAGTGTTTTTTTGTTTTTTTCACACAAGGGCACCTATGATGCTGTAACATGATGCTGGTCAATAATTGTTATTTCCTGTTGTCTTCAGGTATAAATAATTAAAGTAAAAATAATTTCAGATGATACATATTAAAGGTAACTGCTGTTCCTAATTTCAAATCCAGAATTTGGCACCTACAGTATCTATCACAGCTCAATACTGAGTCTAAGCTATAATGAACATTTCCTGAGGTTGCTTTACCTAACATAGGAAATGTATGATATCCATTGGAGGTATTTAGGAATAGTGTCAAAACTGACAAAGAAGCCTGAAAACAGCAGCACAGGGATTGCTGTCACAGGACCGACAAAAGTTGCTACCTGTCGAAGAAACACAATACTGCATCATTATATCATTAGGCAAAAAGTGTGCCTTTTCTGTAAATGGCATTGAAGATTGATTGATAGAGGCAAATTCTTATATGACAAAACATTTGGCTCGTACTGTATTATTCTGAGGTATTTACTTGTAATGAGGTGGACGCTGCTCCTATCAGCAGTCCCAGTGACTGTGCAACCAGTGACGTGAGTGTCCCTAAAGCCAGGAAAAGTATGAAACGAACTGCATCTGAAGGTTGAGATGTCATCCAGTACACTATACTGCAGTAGGCCACTGGGAACACAATCTGTGAGGAAGAAAAGATTGCTCAGATTTATCCATTTCTGAAAGTATTTTGAAGTAGGCTATATGTTTTAGAGAGAAGACTGACAATCTGACTCTTTGTCCTTAACAGTCAATAGACGCGTTTCCATTACAAATTTGCACAAAACTTTGGCGATATTTTATAAATATCGATAAAAACGTGTTGCGACATGACGGTGTTTCCATTAACCGATGTTATGCGACTAAATTTAATTTTTTCCTCTCGCGACAAGTCATGGCAATGGATTTTGATGGGATTTTGACTGATTTTGGCTACACTAGCCATTATATTTAATTGAAGGAGGCGTATGCGTGTATCTTGACGGAAGCAGCGCAGAGAACAGCTTCTGAGACGTGCCGTGGTGCGACTGGTAACACAAGTGTTAACTTTGGGAAGTCGTGGCCTAATGGTTAGAGAGTCGGACTCGTAACCCAAATGTTGCGGGTTCGAGTCTCATACCGGGGGGGGGATGAATGTACAGCGCTCTAGCCCACCTTCAATACCACGACTGAGGTGCCCTTGAGCAAGGCACCGAACCCCCAACTGCTCCCCGGGCGCCGCAGCAAAAAAAATGGCTGCCCATTGCTCCAGGTGTGTGTTCACGGTGTGTGTGTGTGTTCACTGCTGTGTGTGTGCACTTTGGATGGGTTAAATGCAGAGCACTAATTCCGAGTATGGGTCACCATACTTGGCCACATGTCACTTCACATTTTTTTTTTTTTAGAGTGGCCGCGATCAGCTCCGGTGGCTGTTTCGGAGCCGTAACGCGCTGCAGACATGTGCAGTGTAAATAGTCTAAGCATTAATGGCAGGGAAAGCCCCTTATACTTGAGAGCAGCCACATATGAATTGTTTCTTGGAGGTTATAGTACATTGAGGAATGATCATATGACTTTTTTACGTACGCCATGTGGCCTGTTAATGCGGGGAAAAAAACCTTTTCCATTGCAGTTTTGCGAATTATTCCTTTTTCGCATTGCCTGAAAAACCACCTCATGCGAGTGTAAAAACTTTGCGATATATGGCCGTTTTTGCGAAATTGACGCGGTTCCATTAGGCGTATTTTCAATTCGCAATTTCAATTTGTGCAATTTGAAGGGTAATAGAAACGTGCCTAGTGTTGCAAATTTGCTTATTTGATTAATGACCTTGGAATTTTTTACTTATAAGTTGTCTTCAATCAATTTTTTTTCAGGATTTTTTACCTACACTCTTAAAAATAAAGGTGCTTCACGATGCCATAGAAGAACCTTTTTGTCTAAATGGTTCCATAAAGAACCTTTAACATCAGAAGAACCTTTCTGTTTCACAAAAGGTTCTTTGTGGTGAAAGAAGGTTCATCAGATTATAAAAAAGGTATAAAAGAGATGGTTCTTTAAAGAACCTTTGACAGAATGGTTCGTTGTGGAACCAAAAATGGTTCTTCTATGGCATCGCTTGAAGAAACTTTTGAAGCACCTTTATTTTTAAGAGTGTAACTGGAGAATATTTCTTGTAGAGACACTAGAGGATAGACTATTACCGATTCTGAGCAAAGGCCACTTATGTAATGTTGCAGCAGGATTTGTCTAAATTGGGCGAACGGTGACTTGACCTGAAAAGCAAATCCACTTCAAGCTCCAATAACATGTTTATGCCATAACCATCTTACTGTTCCCCCTTTTCTGCTTTTTTGTTCCATTTTTAACCTGTTATGTGTCTGTACTCTGAGGAAACTGCACTGTAAATCTTATTCTTATCCACTTTGTGAATTGTCTTGTTGAGCACAACAACCAAGCAAGCTGCCTTTCAGGAGGAAACCACATTTTCTTTTGTTCCATGTTACCTGAAACGGGACGTCCGCCATTGTTTTGGCCAAGTAGTATGCCTTTAGGCTGTACCAGTAATTTAGATGTTCTCTCAGAAAGACACCCATCTCAAGAGGAACTATAATAACAATCAGAAAGAACAGATGAGCAAGGATAACAAGTTAGTATCAAGTTAGTGAAAGTGTGCGTCAAACTCTTTCTTGTATAAAGAATATAACGGACATTTTTACACAAATTTGACAGACTCACAGGTGAGGACGGTGGGCATCAAAGCTGCAAACATGAGGAACAACATTGAAAAGAACAGGAAACCGGAATTGCTAAGGACTTTCTTGGCCTCGTTGCCAATGCCCAGGTATAAAAGACCAATCAGAATTCCAATCCCAAGATGAGACATGATGCGCAAGTGAGTCAACACCTAAAAGAAGAAAAATCATTTTCACATCAAACTTAAGTTCCTTCTGTTTTTACCCACTTTCATGTGTCCATCAGTACTAAATTGAGAATGGCTTCTGAATTGCAGCTTAGTTACTGAATTTGAAAATAATATGAATTTAGGGAGCAAACGGAATTTCTTTTAATTCTAGTGAAATTTAAATATGATATTCTGCTGAAAAAATGCTATATATGTATTTTCTAATATATCATTTCAGTTAAAGTTTCAACATATCATGACTCAGTGGTAGAGCATTGCATTAGCAGCGCAAAAGGTCATGGGTTCAATTCCCAGGGAACACACACATACTGGTAAAGATGTATAGCCTGAATGCACTGTAAGTCGCTTTGGATAAAAGCGTCTGCTAAATGCATAAATTATTATTATTATAAATTATATATACTGTATATAAATATATAATAAAATATTAAAGTTTTTAATATTCATGCACACAATATGAGGTATTTAAAAAAAAAACATGTTCCATTTATGCATAATTCATTATATTTAATAATAATTTTACTGATCTTGGTGGAAAACACTAAACATTAAAAGAAAAAAAAGAAAAAGAAATATATTAAATATCTTTGAATAACAATTCGGTAATTTTCAGTCAATTTGAATCCATGACCTCGCTACTAATATTAAAAAGTAATTAGGATCATTATATTACTATAGGATAAGTTTAACTTCAGTGTTTTTATTGCATAACTCCTGATGCTCTTTATGGCAAATTTGGCTCTGTTGTGTGTGTTACTAAACCTTCCCACTCGGAGGCAGTGCTGCTTACCGAATCTCTCATGATGCTAAGAAAAGTTCTTTTGAAAAGGATGCAAAACTGCGTCAGGCAGCTGGCAGAAAAACTATGGCAACCCTCTGATGATGAAGAGTCCTAAAGAAAATAGGTGCATTTTAAATGTATTCACTGTCAGAAAAAAAAGTGCCACTTTGTCACTGGGGCAGTACCTTCAAAGGGACACCTTTGTACTTTCTTTACCACTAAAGGATGCATATTCGTACTTTAGAGTAGTAATATGCACCCTTAAGTTAGTAATATGTACTATTATGGTACTTTTATGAACCCTTTAGGGGTAAAGCAGGTACAAATGTGTCCCTTTGAAGGTACTGCACCAGTGATGAGCTGTTGTACAGGTACAATTATTATTATTATACTTTTTTTTCTTTTAAAAGAGTGTTGTACAGCGATACAACAGCTCTCATACAACATAACACCCACTACATCATGTTGCTAAAGGCTTTATGTAATTCTACAAACATACCTCGTCGGATGGTCTGTGCCACAGGAAGGGATTATGGACCCCGTTACCATTCGTTTCACTTTTGTAGTCTTTCTCACACTTGCACTCCTGAACGGCCTTCACCAGCCAAGCTGTCTGGTCACCGTATTCACCAGAGGCCACCTCCAATACTGGAGAAAAGAATAAAAACTGAAAAACTCTCAGACTGAAAAACTGATGCATCAAGACTAATAAAACACCTATACTGAGAATGTAGATGTACATTATTTTTACTCTCTCTATAATTCTCAGTATATTATTTATTCATGTGTAGATGGCATCCAAAAATACAATTTTGCATCTGTCAGTGGCGAGTGAACTGGTAATACTCTAACAGGCATGAAATATATATTCGTGCCTATAAACATTATGCAGCACAACTGTTTTCAACATTGATAATAATCAGGATATTAGAATGATTTCTGAAGGATCATGTGACACTGAAGGCTGGAGTAATGATGCTGAAAATTCAGCTTTGATCACAGGAATAAATTACATTTTAAAATATATTCATATAGAAAACAGCTATTTTAAATTGTAATATTTCACAATATCACGGATTTTACTGTCATTTTTAGTCAAATAAATGCTGCCTTGGTGAAGATAAGAGACTTTTTTCAAAAACTCAAAACTTTTATGAAGTCTTTAATTACTTAATTGACTGCAAATATGCAAGGAAGCAAGAGTAAACAAATTATTTATTTAAAATATTTCTGATTTGATTCCCTTTTGTATCTTATAAATCAAGGGTCCTGTAATTCCTAAAAGTACTTTTAAATTAGCTTTGGTTTCTTTTTTTTGCATTTGGTGCTTTGTGATTTGTTACATTTGGACCTCTGTGTCCTGAGAGCAGTATTTTCTTACCGAAGTCTGCAGGGTTGTGATAGGTGGGACAGTTGAGTCCCAGTTCTCGGAGATACGGGATTAAGCTTGAAACTCTTCCTCGGTAAATACACTGGCCTTGACTGAGGACATACAGCTGGAAAAAACACCAAGAATGAGGTGTGAGAGGCAGCATTTTGCATAAAAGCATGTATTTAGAAATATTCAAGCATGAATATAAAACAGCGATCACCTTATCGAAGAGTTCAAACACTTTAGCGCTGGGCTGGTGAATTGTGCATATGACTGTTCGACCACCCTGAGCAAGAGCCTTCATCAGAGACACCACCTGGAAGCAGGAGGAGCTGTCCAGTCCACTTCAGAGAGAAAAGACACAGAGAAAATGACAGTCAGCACCTTCCTTAACATGATTAAGTTGCTGTGCTCCAATGCAGACAAGGTTTAAGTCTGGCCTGCATTACATATTGATTCCTTTCCCCATTCTCTCTACTCAAAATTTTTTTTCCATTATTATATTATATATTATGCAATATCAGTATGGTACACTGTAAAAAATGCTGGGTTAAATACAACCCAGTGCTGGGTAAAATAGGGACAAACCCAGCAATTGGGTTGTTTTGACCCAGCAGTTGGGTTACTACCCAGAAGGTTGGGTTAAACATTTAACCCAACCGCTGGGTCAAAACAGCCCAATTGCTGGGTTTGTCCCTATTTTACCCAGCACTGGGTTGTATTTAACCCAGCATTTTTTAGAGTGTAGTCTTTGCAGTACATAATAATATATCCTTGCAATAGCACCATGATGCTGTTCAAGTGTGCATACCAGTGGACCAGACAAGTTTAAAGAGATGAGATTAGATTGCAATCTTGACCTCACTCGATCAAGGCCATATTAATATCACAGATGACAGAGACCCCGCTGGATGAAGTGGAAGTGTCTATCTTAAAGGACAGGTTGTAGCCTTCAATACAATACATTCAAAACACCATGACATCACTGCACATGCTACACACAGGTTTCTGATAGGATGCTCAATTTCTTTGAGCCATGAATGTGTCCTGTTTAACCAAACACAACTCTGTGACATCATATTAATGATAACGGTGCTGCTCTTATGCAACCTAGTATAGAAGCGAGCCGAAGCCACGTGGCTTTGGAAAGACTTCCATGAAGGAGAATCTGTTTATCCTTGGATAAGCGTGGTAATCGTATAAATGCGTTTTACGAAAGTATCGTTTTATGCCGAATTGAATTTAGTTTGCCGCTCTCCAGAGAATCAGAGAGTGGTTTTTGTTCTTAGCGGGTAATCCCCAGAGAGGAATGAAGAGCTTAATAGAGCCCATAGAGACCAGAATGTAACTATGGTCGACCATAGATAGCTAACGATGCTTTTGGGAAAGCAACCCTAGGTCTCAACTGTCCAACAGTATCTCATCTGGGCAAAGCCTGTAAGTGAATATGCAATTAAATTGCATTTACACATTATAAGGACTTAACAGAGAAACCTCATGGGTAACAGCTTTTCACAAGAGATATATTTGAATCAGGAACGGCACTTAAGTTGATGATACACGAGGCAACGTTTTTGAGCGATGTTGCATGGGCACTTTCCCATTGAGAATGGGCAACAAATTTCTATCTGGATACTTTAGATCTGTCGTGGGCCCGGTGTCTCACCTGGTTGCCCGTTGATGGCAACATTGCTCAAAAAGTTGCCCGTGCCATCACCTTTATAGCCATACATTTCATAATGTTCACATGCACTGTAAAAAAAATAAATAAATTGAAGTCGTAAATAAAACAAAGATTACTGGAATAGGTTTGATAAGAAACTACAATTTCAGTCTTTCTCTTTTAAAAGTTTTGTGTGAAATGTGTTAACTTGTAATTTCTGTGTAATCATTTGCAATATTCACTAGCAATTTCTGAGTGAAAATTGTTTCAAAGTAAATCCTACACCATTTTTCTTAAGTACGGAGGAGGCTCACCTTGTGGGCTCATCAAAAAACATGACGGGTGGGTTGTTGACAAGCTCCAAGGCGATGGCCAAACGCTTCCTCTGGCCTCCAGACAGGTTGGATGTGCGTGTTTTGGCACATTCTAACAAACCGAGAGCAGTCAGGATTTCCCGAACCTACGACAACAGCACGTGTGCATCATTATGCAGTGGAATAAGGACAGCACATGCCATATCTACAATACCATTCAAACGTTTGTGGTTGGTACGATTTTTTTAGTATTTTTGAAAAATGTCTCTTATGCTCATGAAGGCTGCATTTATTTTATTAAAAAATACAGTAAAAATGCGAAATAATACTACTATTTAAAATAACTGTTTTCTATTTCAATGCATTTTATGCATTCCTGTGATGCAAAGCTGAATTTCACTCCAGTCTTCAGTGTCACAAGATCCAAAAAAATACAGTAAAAATGCGAAATAATACTACTATTTAAAATAACTGTTTTCTATTTCAATGCATTTAATGCATTCCTGTGATGCAAAGCTGAATTTCACTCCAGTCTTCAGTGTCACAAGATCCTTCAGAAATCATTCTAATATGCTGATCTGCATGTGTTGAACACAACTGTGCTGCTTAATATTTTTTGTGGAAACCATGATACATCTTTTCATGAACTTACTGACCCCAAACGTTTGAATGGCGGTGTACATGTTTACTGTGAGTTCACCAATTAGGACATGTATATCAAGTAATGTTTAAAGCACCCACAGCTGACCTTTACCAAAGGTCTCAAAAATTAGGCCGTGCATACATAACTGGTTGGGAAACTTCACACGCCTCTCACTTACCATTTCACGTCTGCCTTCATCCTTTTCCTGGAGTTTGAGATTAGCTGATACCTGAGATGGGAGGGTGAGCGATTTAGATCATGAGCATTAGCGGTACAACTAAAGCTAACAGAGGGATTTGCATGAACTCAACAACAAAGCAACTGCAATTACATGAGACATATTCCAGTGAAACTAGCAGTGAGAGCTGATTATATGTTTTCTGTTTGTGTGTGTTGTATTAACCATGATGAGGTAGTGTGCTTGCTATTAATAATGTGTTTTTCTTGGCTAAATATAAAGCATATACAGAGGCTACACGCAAAAAGGGCTGTAAAGTAAACCATTTTAACCACTTAGGGTAATTTGTACTTTAGTACTACTGAAAGCGAATACTCATACTTTTACACAATAACATTTGCAAGGGAAAAAAGTTTACTTACAATTTTTTACCCTTACAGTACCTACCCTTGTGAAAAGAAGTATGCTTAATTGTATTGATTGATACAGAGGGAGCTACTGTAACAATCTCTGTCTGTTTCATTATGTTTTGGTTTTCCCTGTTCTCATTTTGCCAGTGTTCCTCATCTTTAGTGATTTCCATAGTTCCTAAATGAATTACGCACCTGTTTCAGTTCTAGTTGATTACTTCACTCTGTGTATTTTAAGCACTTGGTTCTCTTTGTTCAGTGTCTGATCTTGTCAGTGTTATATGTGGTTGTGGTTCCCTACTCAAGTTCTTTTCCTCTGTTCCTGTTGGCTTTATCTATTAAAAGACTGTTTCCTGGATACTCGATCGTCGTGTGCTTCATTACAGCAACTGCTGAGTGACACTAATGAAGCCCAGTGATATCATTTCAGCAGACACATACCATCATGGCTTCTTGTACAGTGAGGTGTGGCAGTAACATGTCGTCCTGCATGATGTAGCAGGACACTTTCCTGAAAGATCGCAGATCCCTGGGCTGCCCGTTTATCAGGATCTCCCCTTTCATGCCTGTTTCCCTGCGTGATAAAGCACATCGTCAGATATACTTTCTATTGAAACGTTATCAAATTTATGATCACTATTTCTTGATAAATGATCACGATATCCCACACATTCCATTGCTATATTCATTCAACTTCAATGATATATAGAATGCATTGCTAGAAGCATAATATTAAAAGTAACTGCTAAATGTCCTGCCTAAAGCTACAGTTGCGTCTTTTTGACAGATTGCTTCAAGTATTCCTCATTTGTAAAATGCTTTGCATAACAGTGTCCACAAAAAGAATACATTTAAAGATGCAGTCCGATAAATTTTTTTGGTTAAAAATGATCTGAAATCAATATTTGAGCAAGTACATAACCAGCCAGTGTTCAAAACTATCGCCTTACTTTAGCCAGATTTACAACGGTTAGCTTATAATAATGTTTTTTATTTGAGTGGTACGGGTAGGTTTTCGCAGGAAATTCGAGCATAGCACTGCGTCATTACGTCACATCTGTAAACATAAAGAAGTTGTCCCGGCTACTAGGCTATCGCATGTGAGGATCCTGCAGGTGGCTGATCGTTTATAGCCTTCTCTCACAGCAGCCAGAATAATTAAATGTATAATTTTGATGGCGGATTGTAATCCATAAAGGATTATGTGTTTATAAAACACATGTGAATGAAATTAAATTATATTCCAGTTATAAATGTGCTTCTGATTACAGATAGCCTGGGA